TACTTTCGTCCCCTTCCTTCCTTCCTTCCTTCCTTCCTTCACTCCTTCCTGCCTTCTTTCATTCCTTCCTTCCCCTTCCTTCCTTCCTTCACTCCTTCCTGCCTTCTTTCCTTCCTTCTTTCACTTCTTCCTTCACTCCTTCTTTCCTTACTTTCGTCCTCTTCCTTCCTTCCTTCTTTCATTCCTTCCTTCTTTTCGTCCTCTTCCTTCCTTCCTTCCTTCCTTCCTTCCTTCCTTCCTTCCTTCCTTCCTTCCTCTTCCTTCTTTCCTTTCTTCCTTCTCTCCTTCCTCCTTCTTCTTCCTTCCTTCCTCTTCCTTCCTTCCTTCCTTCCTTCCTCCTTCCTTCTTTCCTTCCTTTCTTCTCTTCCTTTTTCCTTCTTTCATTCCCCTCCTCTTCCTTCTTTCCTTCCTTCCTTCTCCCTTCCTGCCTTCTTTCTTCCTTCCTTCCTTCCTTCCTTCCTCCTTCCTCCTTCCTTTCTTCCTTCTTTCCTTCCTTCTCCTTCTTTCCTTACTTTCGTCCTCTTCCTTCCTCTTCTTTCCTTCCTTCACTCCTTCCTGCCTTCTTTCCTTCCTTCTTTCCTCCTTCCTTCACTCCTTTCCTTACTTTTCTCTTTCCCTTCCTTCTTCTTTCTTTCATTCCTTCCTTCCTTCCTTCCTTCCTTCCTTCCTTCCTTCCTTCCTCCCTCCCTCCCTCCCTCCCTCCCTCCCTTCTAGCTGGCCCCATCAGAGGCAGAATGGGGCTCTTTGTGAGTCGGGACAAGCCACCCTTTCCCAATTTCACCCAGGAGAACAATGGCTGCTGCCTTGGCTTGGGGCTGCCTGGTCCCTCTGCCAACTCCTCCGCTTATCCCAGCAGCGATCAAGCAAAACAGACCCAGCCAAGTTGAGCGCTTGTTATCCTTATTATCATTATATTTTTAGACCGGGTGCAAGCCCCAAGGGAGGCCCCCGCACCCTTGTACCTTTCAACCCAAATGTTTGCTTTGGCTTTCACTGGCAGCGGTTCGTCTGAGCGTGCCATGACAGCTTGGATCTGGGAATGGGAATGGGAAGCCCCCCCCCCCCCCCCGGACTGAGCGCCACCCTTCCTGCTCCGTTTGTTGCAGGAAGGGTGGCATTTATTGTCAGGAGGAAAAGAGGGAAGCACTGCAATAAGAAATCCGGGAGATGGGTGAAATGACACCATTGATGTACATAGATGCCTTCACTGTGTCTGGTTGTGATTCCCAGGCTGTGCCAGTCAGCTTTTGTATGATATTTCTAGCACCCACTTTTTGCCCGATAGTCAAGTCGAGCTTCTTCTAAGTCCAGAGTGTCTTCCAGCTATTTGGGTGTGCTGCAATGCTCCAGTGGGATTCCTTCCCAGGTCATCCTCAGAACTCGAGACACTTGTCTCTTCTCAAGATGGAAAGCACATGTCTGCATTTTGGATAGATTAGGAATCAGTTGGTTTTTCCTGTAATAGGTAGTAAAGCTTCAGAGAGTTTCTGTTCAACTGTTTCAAAGTTCACTCCTTGGGCAGTGATTGCACGATCGTCAGCATAGATGAAAACCTTTGTCTCTTTTGGCAGTGACTGGCCATTTGTGTAAATATTAAATGCTGATGTTGCAACCTGGTTTTCCCTGTAATAGGCAGTAAGAGCACCTAAAGCTTCAGAGAGCATCTGTTCAACCATTTCAAAGCTCCCTGCTTGAGCGGTGATGGCACGATCGTCAGCGTAGGTGAAACTCTCTGTCCCTTCTGGTAATGGCTGATTATTTATATAAATGTTAAACGTTGATGTTGCAAACTGGTTTTCCCTGTAATAGACAGTAAGAGCACCTAAAGCTTCAGAGAATGTCTGTTCAACTGTTTCAAAGCTCCCTGCTTGAGTGGTGATGACGCAATCGTCAGCATAGATCAAACTCTCTGTCCCTTCTGGCAGTGGCTAGTCATTTGTGTAAATGTTAAACATTGATGGAGCAAACTTGTTTTCCCTGTAATAGGCAATAAGAGTGCCTACAGCTTTGGAGAGTTTCAACCATTTCAAAGCTCCCTGCTTGAGTGGTGATGACACAATCGTCAGCATAGATAAAACTCTCTGTCCCTTCTGGCAGTGGCTGATCATTCTTGTAAACATTAATGGTGCAACCTGGTTTCCCCTGTAGTAGACAGTAAGAGCACTTAAAGCTTCAGAGAGGTTCTGTTCAACCATTTCAAAGCTCCCTGCTTGAGCAGTGATGGCGCGATTGTCAGCATAGATGAAACTCTCTGTCCCTTCTGGCAGTGGCCGGTCATTTGTGTAAATGTTAAACATTGATGGAGCAAACTTGTTTTCCCTGTAATAGGCAATAAGAGTGCCTACAGCTTTGGAGAGCTTCAACCATTTCAAAGTTTCCTGCTTGAGTGGTGATGGCACAATCGTCAGCATAGATGAAACTCTCTATCCCTTCTGGCAGTGGCTGCTCATTCTTGTAAATGTTAAATGCTGATGGAGCAAGCTGGTTTTCCCTGTAATAGGCAATAAGAGTGCCTACAGCTTTAGAGGCTCCCTGCTTGAGCGGTGATGGCACGATCGTCAGCATAGATGAAACTCTCTATCCCTTCTGGCAGTGGCTGATCATTCTTGTAAATGATAATGGTGCAACCTAGTTTCCCCTGTAATAGGCAATAAGAGCACTTAAAGCTTCAGAGAGCATCTGTTCAACCGTTTCAAAGCTTGCTGCTTGAGTGGTGATGACACAATCGTCAGCATAGATAAAACTCTCTCTCCCTTCAGGCAGTGGCTGGTCATTAGTGTCAATGTTAAACATTGATGTTGTTATGGGGAAGCTATGGAGATTCTTGGTTTTACCAAAGGTTATGATCTCTAACAAGGCCGTGCCTTTCCAAAACCCAAAGGGATATGTCGCCAACCAACCTCCTGCATCAGCCCTCGGATTACCCAACCGACAGACCAGAGACAGACCGGCTCGGCAGCCTCTTCCGAGCCAAGCGCAGGCGTGCTTCAACCTGGAATCTGCGGGACGGCATGGCCTCCCTCGCTGCCAAGCTCTGTGCTAAGGGGGAGACGTTGAACTAATTTGCAGCGTTGCCTGCCGAGATGGATCCGCGCCTCCCTTTATCAGGCGTGTCATCTTTTCCCCTTCTGGGCCTGGCCCTCGCCATGGAATTCACACATCAAAGTCCCTCAGGAGACAGGCATCATCATGCCATAAAGAAGCGTGCTGTCATGTAACCCGATGAACATGCACCGAAGAGGGTGTCACAGGCACAACACATAGTCGCTGTGCGCCTTCTAGTCTTTTATAGAACTCCAATGTTATACAACTCCAATATACCGATGATAACGTAGTCCTTGTGCATTCAGAAGACCTACATCTGCTATCGAACTCCAATATGCTGATGATACCACAGTTTGTGCGCATTCAGAAGAAGACCTACAACGTCTCTTATAGAACTGCAATATGCCAATGATAACGTAGTCTCTGTGCATTCAGAAGACCTACATCTGCTATCGAACTCCAATATGCTGATGATACCACAGTTTGTGCGCATTCAGAAGAAGACCTACAACGTCTCTTACAGAACTGCAATATGCCAATGATAACATAGTCTGTGCGCATTCAGAAGACCCAAAATGTCTGTTATAGAATTCCAATATGCTGATGATAATATAGTCTGTGGACATTCAGAAGAAGACCAACAACGTCTCTTACAGAACTGCAATATGCCAATGATAACATAGTCTGTGCGCATTCAGAAGACCCAAAATGTCTGTTATAGAATTCCAATATGCTGATGATAATATAGTCTGTGGACATTCAGAAGAAGACCAACAACGTCTCTTACAGAACTGCAATATGCCAATGATAACATAGTCTGTGCGCATTCAGAAGACCCAAAATGTCTGTTATAGAATTCCAATATGCTGATGATAATATAGTCTGTGGACATTCAGAAGAAGACCAACAACGTCTCTTACAGAACTGCAATATGCCAATGATAACATAGTCTGTGCGCATTCAGAAGACCCAAAATGTCTGTTATAGAATTCCAATATGCTGATGATAATATAGTCTGTGGACATTCAGAAGAAGACCAACAACGTCTCTTACAGAACTGCAATATGCCAATGATAACATAGTCTGTGCGCATTCAGAAGACCCAAAATGTCTGTTATAGAATTCCAATATGCTGATGATAATATAGTCTGTGGACATTCAGAAGAAGACCAACAACGTCTCTTACAGAACTGCAATATGCCAATGATAACATAGTCTGTGCGCATTCAGAAGACCCAAAATGTCTGTTATAGAATTCCAATATCCTGATGATAACGCAGTCTGTGCGCATTCAGAAGAAGACCTACAATGTCTGTTCTAGAACTCCAATATGCTGATGGTCTGTGCACATTCAGAAGACCTACAATGTCTGTTATAGAATTCTAATATCCTGATGATAACGCAGTCTGTGCGCATTCAGAAGAAGACCTGCAATGTCTCTTATAGAACTCCAATATGCCAATGATAACACAGTCTGTGCGCATTCAGAAGACCCAAAACGTCTGTTATAGAATTCCAATATGCTGGTGATAACATAGTCTGTGGACATTTAGAAGAAGACCTACAATGTCTGTTATAGAACTCCAATATGCTGACGGTCTGTGCACATTCAGAAGACCTACAACGTCTGTTATAGAATTCCAATATCCTGACGATAACGCAGTCTGTGCGCATTCAGACGAAGACCTACAATGTCTGTTATAGAACTCCAATATGCCAAGGATAACATAGTCTGTGCGCATTCAGAAGACCCAAAACGTCTGTTATAGAATTCCAATATGCTGGTGATAACGCAGTCTATGGACATTCAGAAGAAGACCTACAATGTCTGTTCTAGAACTACAATATGCTGACGGTCTGTGCACATTTAGAAGAAGACCTACAAGCCACTCTAAACACTTTGCAAAAGCATGAGAAGCTCGGCCTCCCATTGAACATTGAGAAAATCAAAGTGCTAAAGAATAAAAACATTTTATTAAAGCTAGAGAACATCATACACGCATGGAAGTAAACTTATTTAAATTGTGCATCTTTACCGGCAACAATTAATAAATATAAAAAAATAAATTAAGAAACAACAACAAAAAGAATGTGATAATATGAAAGCAGAACCATTGTCAAGAAGTCAAGAGTGCTTTACAGGAACGGAAGGCACAGCGGCAGTTGGATAAAAAAATGAATAAATAACACAGAAGGCAACAAAGAGGTGTTAGGAATTGTGGGAGTTGGGAGTCCAAAACCACCCGGAGGGCCGAAATTTCCCCGTGCCTGCTTTAGTAGGTGTGTGACCACATGTCCATTAGAACTGTATTTCCACCAGTATTACACTATAGGGAGTTGCAGGCCGAAACACTTGGGAGGGCCGAAATTTGCTCGTGCCTGCTTTAGTAGGTGAGCGACCACATGTCCATTAGAACTGTATTTCCACCAGTATTACACAATAGGGAGTTGCAGGCCGAAACACTTGGAGGGCCGAAATTTGCTCGTGCCTGCTTTAGTAGGTGAGCGACCACATGTCCATTAGAACTGTATTTCCACCAGTATTACACAATAGGGAGTTGCAGGCCGAAACACTTGGAGGGCCGAAATTTGCTCGTGCCTGCTTTGGTAGGCGAGCGACCACATGTCCATTAGAACTGTATTTCCACCAGTATTACACAATAGGGAGTTGCAGGCCGAAACACTTGGAGGGCCGAAATTTGCTCGTGCCTGCTTTAGTAGGTGAGCGACCACATGTCCATTAGAACTGTATTTTCCATTAGTATTACACAATAGGGAGTTGTAGGCCGAAACACTTGGAGGGCCGAAATTTGCTCGTGCCTGCTTTAGTAGGTGAGCGACCACATGTCCATTAGAACTGTATTTCCACCAGTATTACACAATAGGGAGTTGCAGGCCGAAACACTTGGAGGGCCGAAATTTGCTCGTGCCTGCTTTAGAAGGTGAGCGACCACATGTCCATTAGAACTGTATTTTCCATTAGTATTACACAATAGGGAGTTGTAGGCCGAAACAACTGGAGGGCTGAAATTTGGCCGTGCATGCTTTAGAAGGTGTGTGACCACATGTCCATTAGAACTGTATTTTCCATTAGTATTACACAATAGGGAGTTGTAGGCCGAAACAACTGGAGGGCTGAAATTTGGCTGTGCATGCTTTAGAAGGTGTGTGACCACATGTCCATTAGAACTGTATTTTCCATCAGTATTACACAATAGGGAGTCCGTGCAAGGCCTCACTCTGAATTTGGTTGTGTAAACAAAGCGAAAGGCCAATGGAGACTGTGATGTTCAACCTTCATTAGAAAGCAAAGGAATGTGGTCATAAAAAAACAACAACACTGTAACAGTTTTCCAGGTTCCTGAGCACGGAAATAAGGCGGCCGTTGGTCCATCAAGTTCCCAAGAGGAAAAGTCAGTTGATCTGCAAATGAATAAACAACCCAATGTTGCTTTGGTTGCCTCGGAGAGGTCTACAGGTTGAGCCACGTGAAATGGTAGATGGAATAGCAGGCGCAAGGTCTGGAAGCAACGTAGGTGGAACGAAACATGAGACTTTCGGCAGTTCTGGCACCAGGGAGACTCCCAACGTGGTGGGGAAGGACACGGAGCTGTGCTGACTCCGTGGCCAGAGGGTTCTCCATTCAAGTATGTCCCAGGAAACACGTTGCCCGAGCAGCTAAATGCGTCTGCTTCAGAGCGGGATGCCGATGGCGCCGGCCTGCTCCTTCAGCCCCAGCAGGCTGTAGGCGATGCGCTTATGGTGCCCTGGGAGGCGCACCCCGATGCTCTTGATGTCACTGGGAAGAAGGAGAAAAGGTCTGGTGAGGTCACAGTTATGTGCATTCCAAGCATGCAACATGTTTTCATAGCCCCATAAAAGTCTCTTAATCGTGGAGGGCGCACCTGCACCGCCCTATCCTCATAACAAGAACAAGAGCCATGATCTATGCTGGAAAGTGCTTGGAGTCCCCTCAAGTACAGTAAATAAATAATCAATAATCAATAAGAGGGACAGATTTGTCTGCCAGGATCCGTATATATGACCTTGTGGTGTCAGGAGGGGAGAGGCTGACTAGCCAGGAAAGATTACTACTACCACGTCAGCAATAGATTATTACAAATGGTTTTCTGTGGCTGAGTGGATGGCAACTACTGGATGGCATAGGTTCTGTATCAGAAACTAGCACTAATAAGGTCTATCCAATGCGATTTTCTGAATCAGCTGATGTGATCTATCCAATGCAATTTTCTGAATCGGCTGATGTAGTCTATCCAATGCAATTTTCAAAATCAGCTGATGTGGTTTATCCAATGCAATTTTCAGAATCAGCTGATGTGGTCTATCCAATGCAATTTTCTGAATCGGCTGATGTGGTTTATCCAATGCAATTTTCTGAATCAGCTGATGTGGTCTATCCAATGCAATTTTCAGAATCAGCTGATGTGGTCTATACAGTGGAATTTTCTGAATCAGCGGATGTGGTCTATCCAATGCAATTTTCAGAATCGGCTAATGTGGTCTATCCAATGCAATTTTCTGAATTGGCTAATGTGGTCTATCCAATGCAATTTTCTGAATCAACTGATGTGGTCTATCCAATACAATTCTCTGAATCAGCTGATGTGGTCTATCCAATACAATTCTCTGAATCAGCTGATGTGGTCTATCTAGTGGAATTTTCAGAATCAGCTGATGTGGTCTACCCAATGCAATTTTCAGAATCAGCTGATGTGGTCTATCCAATACAATTCTCTGAATCAGCTGATGTGGTCTATCTAGTGGAATTTTCAGAATCAGCTGATATGGTCTACCCAATGCAATTTTCAGAATCAGCTGATGTGGTCTATCCAATGCAATTTTCTGAATCAGCTGATGTGGTCTATACAGTGGAATTTTCTGAATCAGCTGATGTGGTCTATCTAGTGGAATTTTCAGAATCAGCTGATGTGGTCTATCCAATGCAATTTTCAGAATCAGCTGATGTGGTCTATCCAATGCAATTTTCTGAATCAGCTGATGTGGTCTATCCAATACAATTCTCTGAATCAGCTGGTCTATCTAGTGGAATTTTCAGAATCAGCTGATGTGGTCTATCCAATACAATTCTCTGAATCAGCTGATGTGGTCTATCCAATACAATTTTCTGAATCGGCTGATGTGGTCTATCCAATACAATTTTCAGAATCAACTGATGTGGTCCATCTAATGTAATTTTCAGAATCAGCTGATGTGGTCTATCCAATGCAATTTTCTGAATCAGCTGGTGTGGTCTATCCAATGCAATTTTCTGAACCAGCTGATGTGGTCTGTCCAATGTAATTTTCTGAATCAGCTGATGTTGTCTATCCAATACAATTTTCTGAATCAGCTGATGTAGTCTATCCAATGCAGTTTTCAAAATCAGCTGATGTGGTCTATTCAATGCAATTTTCTGAATCAGCACCCCAAATAACCAGATAGAATCTAAACTTGACCAAAATCTGATTCATAACTTTTTTGGTTGGAGAGTAGTCCCTGGTCAAAGTGGTCCCTGGTCAAAAAAAGGTTGGGAACTATTGAAATAGAAGTATGCACTCCATCTATACAAGAGAATAGTTCCTTGAAAGGAGAAAGGCACTGGGAAACAGAACTCGGAAACCCATTCAGTTCCCATATTGAGTGAAACGGGAGGAGGAGAGCCCAAGGTAGGGGTCTAGGAGGCCAGACTCACTCGTTGGTCATCTGCACCACCTTCTCAATGGTGTTATACCCCCTGGAGAGGAAGTGCTCTGTATACTGGTGCATTTTGATGGACTCCAGCCACTCGCCCACCGTTCGGAAAGGGATGCCCTCTGAGCCGCTGGTGCTGGGGAGGCGGATGGAGACCCTTTGGAGACAAAAAGGGACCCTGGCTCCTTAGTGTCTGGGGAGGGCAGGGGACATTTTGGAAACCTATTCCTGGGCATATCTATCTCTTATGGGAGAAGGGAGGAAGGCAGAGGCACAAACTACTGGAAGGATGTGGGCTTCTGCCTGGAGAATGGAGGCCATGCTTACCTAGGGTCGAACTCCGCCAAGGTCTTGAGTGACTCAGGGGCGCGGATGAGCTTGTCCAAGATGCTGACGATGTCATTGAATCTGGGCCGATGGCTCCTCTCCTGCTGCCAGCAGCGCATCATCAGTTGGTAGACGGCGGAGGGGCAGTCCAAGGGGGCCGGGAGCCGGTAGCCTTCGTTGATGGCTTTCATCACCTGTTCAAAGATGGAGCAACTGTTGTAGCTCAGCAGCTAGGGGATAATGGGTTAGCTCAACGGTCAGGGGCTGATGGGTTCAATGATGATTCAGAAGGGTTTGCAGGATTTCTTGAGGTTCAAAGTGATGTAGGCTAGATTAAAACTATTGAAGATTCAGGCCATGGGAATGAAATTGCCTCAAACAGTGCTGAGCTTCAAAGTCAGTCGTAGGAGCCAGCAACAGCATCATTAGATAAGGAGTGAAGTGAAAGGGAATTAAGTGAAACAGAAAACTCTCAAGGGAAAGCACCTGGTGGTACGGAGATAGATTAAAACTACTGAAGATTCAGGCCATGGGAATGAAATTGCCTCAAACAGTGCTGAGCTTCAAAGTCAGTCGTAGGAGCCAGCAACAGCATCATTAGATAAGGAGTGAAGTGAAAGGGAATTAAGCGAAACAGAAAACTCTCAAGGGAAAGCACCTGGTGGTACGGAGATAGATTAAAACTACTGAAGATTCAGGCCATGGGAATGAAATTGTGTCAAACAGTGCTGAGCTTCAAAGTCAGTCGTAGGAGCCAGCAACAGCATCATTAGATAAGGAGTGAAGTGAAAGGGAATTAAGCGAAACAGAAAACTCTCAAGGGAAAGCACCTGGTGGTACGGAGATAGATTAAAACTACTGAAGATTCAGGCCATGGGAATGAAATTGTGTCAAACAGTGCTGAGCTTCAAAGTCAGTCGTAGGAGCCAGCAACAGCATCATTAGATAAGGAGTGAAGTGAAAGGGAATTAAGTGAAACAGAAAACTCTCAAGGGAAAGCACCTGGTGGTACGGAGATAGATTAAAACTACTGAAGATTCAGGCCATGGGAATGAAATTGTGTCAAACAGTGCTGAGCTTCAAAGTCAGTCGTAGGAGCCAGCAACAGCATCATTAGATAAGGAGTGAAGTGAAAGGGAATTAAGTGAAACAGAAAACTCTCAAGGGAAAGCACCTGGTGGTACGGAGATAAGCAAGGATCTCCATTTGCAGATCAGAGCAGAGAATCAACTCCGTAGGTCAGTAAAATTACATGGGAAAGATAGAGAAAAATCATGGAAAATGCCATGACTTCATGTCTGCGTATTAACAGCCAGTTGTTTACCAGGCAACGTTGGTGTTCGAGGGAGAACCTAAGCCTGAGTTTTTGTGTCAAGTCAAGTCCTGTTTTTGGATTTAAGTATCTTGGAAGGTTTCTATATTCTTGTTTTGTTATTTTTGCTCAAGTTTTTCTAAGGATATCTTTTGCTGATGGTTTTATGCTGTACGTGTGAGTTTTAGCTATGCCTGGACTGTGTTAACTTTGGATTTTTATGAGACATTTGGAATCCTGCTAGAACACGTTGCCCATACAGCCCAGAAACGACACACTCAATCGACATCACTTTGGTTGCAATGGGAACGTAGACAACACAGAGCAGTCAGGTGCCTTACCTCGTGGTTGGAGAGCTCCCAGTAGGGCCGCTCGCCGTAGGACATCACCTCCCACATCACGATGCCATAGCTCCAGACATCGCTGGCCGAGGTGAACTTGCGGTGGGAGATGGCCTCAGGCGCAGTCCATCGGATGGGGATCTTCCCGCCCTGCAAGTGAACCCAAACATCAGACGATCTGCTTCCAAACAACGAACAACACATGGCCAGTTTGGCCCTACCCTCCCATATTTGTAGGCGGTACAGGGACATAACTGCCATGTAAGTGGGGAGCAAGGGCCGAGACTCACGCTGGTGGTGTAAGTGGCGTCAGGGTCGTCCTCCAGGACCCGCGAGAGTCCGAAGTCAGAGACCTTGCAGACCAGTTGGCTGTCGACCAGGATGTTGCGTGCGGCCAGGTCGCGGTGGACGTAGTTCATGCTGGCTAGGTACCGCATCCCCGAGGCAATGCCCCTCAGCATGCCCACCAGCTGGATGACACAGAACTGCCCATCCTTTTCCTGCAAGAGGGGAGTTCCACTACAGATAAGTCACGCCAGCATTTGGAAGAGCTTTATGGGCAGGTTAGTGGCAACACAGAATTGAGTCTCCACTCTCTTCCCAAGATAAGCTTGGGGTCAACAAAGACAGCAATACTTTGGAGCAGAGGATCCACCAAGAGATGGATCCCCTCTCAGCTCCCCCATTGCATACACCAGAAAGAAGTAGCCTACTAACACTGAGGGGTCCCTAAGACTGAGGCCTTTCTCCCACTGAGGCCTTCTCACACTGAGGGCTCTCTCAGACTGAGGCCTTTCTCCTACAGAGACCTCTCACAGACTGAAGGCTGCTAACAATGAGGGCTCCCTCAGACTGAGGGTTACTAAGCTACAGACACACCTGCCCATAGAGAATTACAGCCTTTGTCGAGTCACTGCGTCCATTCAATCCTTTCAGTGCTTGACTCACATTTCTGTAATAAAAAAATACCTGACAGGACCCCCTCTCAACTCTCTCATTGCGTATGCCAGAAAGAAGTAGCCTACTAACACAGAGGGCTCTCTAAGGCTGAGGCCTTTCTCCCACTGAGGCCTTCTCACATTGAGGGCTCTCTAAGACTGAGGCCTTTCTCCTACAGAGATCTCTTGATTCACATTTCTGTAATAAAAAATGTCTAGCTAATATTTAATATTTCTGACAGGACCCCCTCTCAACTCCCTCATTGCGTATGCCAGAAGAAATAGCCTACTAACACTGAGGCCTTTCTCCCACTGAGGCCTTCCCACAGACTGAGGGCTACGAACACTGAGGCCCTCCCTCAGACTGAAGGCTACTAAGCTACAGGCATGCCTGCCCATAATATTTAATATTTCTGACAGGACCTCCTCTCAACTCCCTCATTGCGTATGGTAGAAGAAATAGCCTACTAATACTGAGGCCCTTCTCCCACTGAGGCCTTCTCACAGACTGAGGGCTACGAACACTGAGGACTCCCTCAGACTGAAGGCTACTAAGCTACAGGCACGCCTGCCCATAATATTTAATATTTCTGACAGGACCTCCTCTCAACTCCCTCATTGCGTATTGTAGAAGAAATAGCCTACTAATACTGAGGCCTTTCTCCCACTGAGGCCTTCTCACGGACTGAGGGCTACTAACACTGAGGGCTACTAAGCTACAGGCACACCTGCCCATAGAGAACTGCAGTCTTTGCCGAGTCACTGCATCCATCTAATCCTTTCAGTGCTTGACTCACATAAAAAATACCTAGCTAATATTTAATATTTCTGACAGGACCTCCTCTCAACTCCCTCATTGCGTATTGTCGAAGAAATAGCCTACTAACACTGAGGTCTTTCTCCCACTGAGGCCTTCTCACAGACTGAGGACTACGAACACTGAGGGCTACTAAGCTACAGGCACACCTGCCCATAGCGAACTACAGCCTTTGCTGAGTCACTGCATCCATTTAATCCTTTCAGTAATTAACTCACATAAAAAATACCTAGCTAATATTTAATATTTCTGACAGGACCTCCTCTCAACTCCTTCATTGCATATGGTAGAAGAAATAGCCTAACACTGAGGCCTTTCTCCCACTGAGGCCTTCTTACAGACTGAGGGCTACAAACACTGAGTGCTCCCTCAGACTACTAAGCTACAGGCACACCTGCCCATAGCGAACTACAGCCTTTGCCGAGTCACTGCATCCATTTAATCCTTTCAGTGCTTGACGCACATAAAAAATACCTAGCTAATATTTAATATTTCTGACAGGACCTCCTCTCAACTCCCTCATTGCGTATGATCGAAGAAATAGCCTACTAACACTGAGGCCTTTCTCCCACTGAGGCCTTCTCACAGACTGAGGGCTACGAACATTGAGGGCTCCCTCAGACTGAGGAGCTAATATTTAATATTTCCGACAGGACCTCCTCTCAACTCCCTCATTGCGTATGGTAGAAGAAATAGCCTACTAACACTGAGGCCTTTCTCCCACTGAGGCCTTCTCACAGACTGAGGGCTACGAACATTGAGGGCTCCCTCAGACTGAGGAGCTAATACTTAATATTTCCGACAGGACCTCCTCTCAACTCCCTCATTGCTTATGGTAGAAGAAATAGCCTACTAATACTGAGGCCTTTCTCCCACTGAGGCCTTCTCACAGACTGAGGGCTACGAACACTGAGGGCTACTAAGCTACAGGTGCACCTGCCCATAGCAAACTACAGCCTTTGCTGAGTCACTGCATCCATTTCTGTGATTTAAAAAACATAGTTAATATTTAATATTTCTGACAGGATCCCCTCTCCGCTCCCTCATTGCGTACGCAAGAAAGAAGAAACTTCCGTACCTGTAGGAATTTATCCAAGGCCCCATTCTCCATGTATTCTGTGATGATCATGAATGGCTTATCTGGGAAAAGGGGGTAAAATGTTAATGAAAATTTATTTATTTATCTATTTGCAGTGTTTACATTCCGCCCTTCTCACCCTGAAGAGGACTCAGAGCGAATCACAGAATATACGTAATGTGGCAAACATTCAATGCCATTAGACATACAGGACAGACAGATAGGTGTTGTGTTCGGTTCCGTCGGCCCATCTCCCGCAGAAGAAGACGGCCTCGAACCGGAATCCTCAACGCCTCCCCCCATCTCAATAGACAAAGGGCCCTTACATTTGGACACAACCCCCTCCAAGCGGATGATGTTGTGGTGGCAGAACTGGCCCATGATGCTGGCCTCGCTCAGGAAGTCAATGCGTTGCTTCTCGGTGTAGCCCGACTTCAGTGTCTTGATGGCCACCGGGAGCTCCTTTTTGCCGTTCCTCAGGGTCCCCTTGTAGACTTCGCCAAACTCCCCTGGGAAGAGAAGAGCGGGAGGTGGCCGTGAAGATACATCTCGGCAAAGAGGAAACCACTCCCTCTCAACCACCTCCCCATCACGAGACATCCCGGCTTCCTCTCTCACCTGCGCCAATGACTTTCTGCCGGGAAATACACGACGGCTGGATCTCGGTGGTGAACTTCAGCACCGCCTGGTTGGGGTCTTCGTACGTGTGGGGGTCCACGTAGGTCTTCAGGGGCTTCAGCTGGTCTGAGGGGGAAAGCCAACAGTCAGAAGTGGAAAGAGGAAGGTTCTCCTGCTCAGCTCTCCTCGTCTGATGGCTTATTTAATTGACCAAAGCTTTGGAGGTCCATTGGGATAAGTCGCCAGTCTGCTGACAACCATGGCTTACCAGACTTGGAGAAGTAAACGTCTTCAGGCGTCTGCCGGGCCCTCGAGTTCTTCTTCCTAAAGGACAAGGAGCAGAGCATTGAGCCTTCACGACAATCTCTCTCTGCTTGTGTGTCAGGAGAGTATGTGCTGTGCGCTTTGAGATTTATTTATTATTATTTATTTACTTTATTTATATACCGCTTTTCTCAGCCCTCAAGCGACTCAAAACACCACGAGACAAGTATAGGGCAATTAAAAACAATTGTAACATAAATCATTAAACATCCGTATAACAATAATTAGCGCCTCAACAGTAAAATCAGAATCCAGTCTCGTCATCCATTATTCCGTATTCCTATGTTCAATTACACTGTTTAATCAAATGCTTGTTCGAACAGCCAGGTCTTCACTTTCCTCCGAAATGCCAGCAGGGAGGGGGCCGATCTGATATCTGCAGGCAGGGCGTTCCACAGCCAAGGGGCCACCACTGAGAAGGCCCTGTCTCTCGTCCCCGCAAAGCACGCCTGTGATGCAGGCAGGACCGAGAGCAGGGCCTCCCCAGATGATCTTAGTGTCCTAGCCGGTGCATAGGAGGAGATGCGTTCGGAGAGGTAAGTAGGACCAGAACCATTTAGGGCTTTATAGGCTAACGCCAGCACTTTGAATTGTGCCTGGTAGCAAACTGGTAGCAAGTGGAGCTGGCACAACAGAGGAGTTGTATGCTCCCTGAGTGCAGCTCCTGTTAGCAACCTGGCTGCCAAATGCTGGACCATTTGAAGCTTCCGAGCAGTCTTCAAAGGCAACCCCACGTAGAGAGCATTGCAGCAGTCTATACGGGATGTAACCAGAGCATGGACTACCGTGGCCAAGTCAGGCTTCCCAAGGTACGGACACAGCTGGCACACAAGTTTTAACTGTGCGAATGCTCCCCTGGTCACCGCTGAAACCTGGGGTTCCAGGCTCAGCGACGAGTCCAGGGTCACACCCAAGCTGCGAACCTGCGTCTTCAGGGGGAGTGCGGCCCCATCCAACACAGGCTGTAACCCCATGCCCTGTTCGGCCTTACGACTGACCAGGAGTACCTCTGTCTTGTCTGGATTCAAGTTCAATTTGTTTGCCCTCATCCAGACCATTACAGTAGCCAAGCACCGGTTCAGGACCTGGACAGCCTCCTTAGTAGCAGGTGGGAAGGAGTGACAGAGTTGGACATCATCCGCGTACAGATGACTCTCTCTGCTTGTGTGTCAGGAGAGTATGTGCTGTGTGCTTTGAGATCTCTCTCTGCTTGTTTGTCAGGAGAGACGTAGTGATTGAGTTTTACCCTCTCTTGAAACCTTAGAAGAGATGGGTGTTCGAGTAGCTCAGACCCAGTTCTTGATTGTTGATAAATGCAGTTATTGTTTATTATTGTAAATAAACAACAATTTTTGTATTTTTTAAAGATCTTGCCTTCCCAAGCTCTGAATTCTTTACATCCACAACCAACGGCACTCTATGCTTTGCTCGCTAATGAGCGGACGCTCAAATTTTTAGTATCCTGTTTGTTTTTGGATGCTCTGCTACATTTAATGGAAGTTTCCCCTAACAGTAGGTGTTCTGGTACAGCTGTACCAGGAGCTCCAATTTTATTTGCTTTGTATTTATTGTTTGCTTGTAGCCCTGGGTTTCAGGGACTTTGCAGATAGGTGGCTTCTTTTGGTTGCAGTCATAGGGCAAGTCACCTGTCCATCATCATTAAATTTTGGTCCCGCCCCTTGCTCAGGGCAATTGGGAAGGGAAGGGAGCCATTTTTTAGTTAGTCTCAGCAAGGTAAGCTTATGTATAGGATGTGTGCAAGCTTCCCCTGTACAAAAGCTTCAACCTTTAAGAATTTCCAAGAAAACAGCCCTAAAGACCAAAGAACTCCAGCTGGAGAACATCTAAGCCTTTACTGGTAGGTCCACTCAGCGTTCGAGAAGCAGTTCGACCCGGTAGCGGAGCCCACATCAGTAAGGGTTAGATTACAGTCAGCTTGGGAGAAGTTAAAAAGGGGATTTTCCTTTAAAGAATCATAGAATCATAGAATCAAAGAGTTGGAAGAGACCTCATGGGCCATCCAGTCCAACCCCATTCTGCCAAGAAGCAGGAATATTGCATTCAAATCACCCCTGACAAATGGCCATCCAGCCTCTGCTTAAAAGCTTCCAAAGGAGCCTCACCACACTCCGGGGCAGAGAGTTCCACTGCTGAACGGCTCTCACAGTCAGGAAGTTCTTCCTAATGTTCAGATGGAATCTCCTCTCTTGTAGTTTGAAGCCATTGTTCCGCGTCCTAGTCTCCAAGGAAGCAGAAAACAAGCTTGCTCCCTCCTCCCTGTGGCTTCCTCTCACATATTTATACATGGCTATCATATCTCCTCTCAGCCTTCTCTTCTTCAGGCTAAACATGCCCAGTTCCCTAAGCTGCTCCTCATAGGGCTTGTTCTCCAGACCCTTGATCATTTTGAAGAAGTTATTGAAGACAGTTGCCTGTCCTTCGTGGGCAAGATTAGGAATTCACCAGTTGCCTAAAAGCTTGGAATCATTTGCTTAACTTTACTGAAGACAAGAGAAGTTTCTGTTTGATTGTTCATTAATAAAAGGCTTTGTTGTACTTCTCAAGCCATCTAAAGACTGTTTGTGGTGGAAACCTCTGAGAACTTCTCTTTAGGCCCCCTGGCTTCCCGCTGGGCAAAGGTTGCGCATCCTGTTCTAAAGACAATTATTTACAGGCCCAGTAGGCACCTGCTCATCTAGTCCATTGATTCCTGACCCTCTTAACTCCTCTCTCAATGGTGGTAGCCCTTTCCAAACAAAGTGGCCATACATTTGGGAAATAAGCTGGGATCAAAAGGAGACCAGAGACAGAACACGGAAGAGGAGAATGTGCCCACAGTCCACTTTGGAAAGCCTCTGGAAAGCAGGGCCTGGCATTGTTTACAACAGTGATGGGCAACCTTTTGAGCGTGGTGTGTCAAAATTCGCCAAAAAAACTGAGCATAATTCAGGTGGTGTGTCACTTCAAGAAAAAAACCATAATTTCGCAATATTTAGTTTAAATAACAAAAAAAATATATAATTGTAATTCCCACTTTCTCTCTTATCGTGTCGTTCTACCTCTCTTTATGTAAATAATATCCTTTTTGGAGTGTTTAATAAAAATATAATTTTAAAAACCCAACAAAATATTATTTATTTTAAATTTAATTTAAATGTATTTCTAGCATTTAATATGCTATTTAATGCATTTCTAATAATAATAATAATAATGCAATAACAATAAAGTAACATTGCAAAATAAGATTTTGATATTTAATTTACCATTTCATTTAAGGCATATATATATATATATATATATATATATATATATATATATATACGTATATTAAAAATATTTAAAATGCATTAAATTAAATGTCAAATTAAAATTCAATTTACCATTTCATTTAAGGCATTCTGAAATATTTGAGTAATATAGCAAAGCATTATTTATCAAGCAGAGAGCTTTGAGATGGTTGAACAGAAGCTCTCGGAAGCTCTAGATGCTCTAACTGCCTATTACAGGGAAAACCAGCTGATCCCCAATCCGTCTAAAACACAGACATGTGCCTTTCATCTCAAGAACAGACAAGCATCCCGAGCTCTGAGGATTATTACCTGGGAAGGAATCCCACTGGAGCATTGCAGCGCACCCAAATACTTGGGAGTCACTCTGGACCGTGCTCTGACCTACAAGAGGCACTGCCTGAACATCAAACAAAAAGTGGGTGCTAGAAACAATATCATACGAAAGCTGACTGGCACAACCTGGGGATCACAACCAGATACAGTGAAGACATCTGCCCTTGCGCTGTGCTACTCTGCTGCTGAGTATGCATGCCCAGTGTGGAACACATCTCACCATACTAAAACAGTGGATGTGGCTCTTAATGAGACATGCCGCATTATCACGGGGTGTCTGCGCCCTACACCACTGGAGAAATTACACTGCTTAGCTGGTATTGCACCACCTGACATCCGCCGGGAAGTAGCAGCCAATAGTGAAAGGACCAAGGCAGAGACATCTCCAGCTCATCCCCTGTTTGGGTATCAGCCAGCACGTCAACGACTTAAATCTAGACATAGTTTTCTAAGATCTACAAAGACACTCGCTGGAACACCTCAGCAAGCGAGAGTCCAAAAGTGGCAGGCTCAAACCCAGCACCTCAACCAATGGCTGATACCAAATGAGAGACTCCCTCCTGGGCACACAGAAGACTGGGCGACTTGGAAGGCTGAACAGACTGCACTCTGGCACCACGAGATGCAGAGCCAACCTTCAGAAATGGGGCTACAAAGTGGAATCCTCGACATGCGAGTGTGGAGAAGAGCAAACCACTGACCACCTGCTGCAATGCAACCTGAGCCCTGCCACATGCAATGGAGGACCTTCTTGCAGCAACACCGGAAGCACTCCAAGTGGCCAGATACTGGTCAAAGGACATTTAACCAGCTACCAAACTCACAAGTTGTGTATTTTTCTGTTTGTTTGCTTTGTTCTGTTAGACTGGTTGTTCTGACACGACAAATAAATAAATAAATAAATAAATAAATAAATAATAAACAAATAATATCCGGCGGGCGCGTGTCAGTAGAAATGGCTACGCGTTTCAGTACTGACACGCGTGTCATAGGTTCACCATCACGGGTTTACAAACCCGCAAAGCCTGTTAGACTGGGGTGACGGAAGGTGCTTAGGCTTTCTTGCTATTCAAAGACATACATAGCGTAAATATGAAACGCACCTCCGGTGAACGAAAAAGACTAAGCCCCCTATGAAGAGGACCATGGCGACACAGGCAGCGATGGAGCCCCCGAGGACAGCGGCACTGTTTGCGCCATCGGATCCTGCAGAAGAAGGGAAGGAAACGCAGCGGTCATCCTCCGGAAAGAGCACCAACTTTGCGTCAACGGGAGGAGCCTCCTCTTGCATGACTCACGTTCTGGGAGCGTCTCGAACTCGTGCTCCACGCTGTGGGCCCCGTGGCCCTCCTGGGTCAGGGCCTGGACGCTGACCACATACTTTGTCCTCGGGGCCAGCTTCGGGAGGGTCACGGAGTTGCCGTCGCAGCGCACCACGGAGTAGCTGTGCTCGTCCTTCTGCCAAAGACGAAGGGAAACAAACCGTGAGACTCGACAACGCAGAGCGTCACATGAAACACCAGCATTGGTCAAGGGGTCGATTGAGCCCCCACAATGCACGCAAGACCCTGAAGGCAGGGCCGTAGCCAGAAAAAAATTTCGGGGAGGGTTGACAATTTGGGGGGGGGTTGACAATTTTGGGGAGGGTTGAACTTTTCGGGGGGGGGGGGGTTGAAACAAGCAAAGAGCACAGCAGGGGCAGAGCAGCCTTCAATAGCCTGCAGCTCCGCCCCTGTCAACCACCTCCACCAAGTCTGGCCTCCTTCATGAGAGCATTCAACACACACACACCCAACTTGGTTGCTTCACTACATCGCTGAAGCAAAGAGCACAGCAGGGGACAGAGCAACCTTCAATAGCCTGCAGCTCCGCCCCTGTCAACCACCTCCACCAAGTCTGGCCTCCTTAATGAGAGCATTCAACACACACACACCCAACTTGGTTGCTTCACTACATCGCTGAAGCAAAGAGCACAGCAGGGGGCAGAGCAACCTTCAATAGCCTGCAGCTCCACCCCTGTCAACCACCTCCACCAAGTCTGGCCTCCTTCATGAGAGCATTCAACACACACACACCCAACTTGGTTGCTTCACTACATCGCTGAAGCAAAGAGCACAGCAGGGGGCAGAGCAACCTTCAATAGCCTGCAGCTCCACCCCTGTCAACCACCTCCACCAAGTCTGGCCTCCTTAATGAGAGCATTCAACACACACACACACCCAACTTGGTTGCTTCACTACATCGGCTATTGCTGCAAGTAATGACAGCAGGGGGCAGAGCAACCTTCAATAGCCTGCAGCTCCGCCCCTGTCAACCACCTCCACCAAGTCTGGCCTCCTTCATGAGAGCATTCAACACACACACACCCAACTTGGTTGCTTCACTACATCGCTGAAGCAAAGAGCACAGCAGGGGCAGAGCAACCTTCAATAGCCTACAGCTCCACCCGTCAACCACCTCCACCAAGTCTGGCCTCCTTCATGAGAGCATTCAACACACACACACCCAACTTGGTTGCTTCACTACATCGCTGAAGCAAAGAGCACAGCAGGGGGCAGAGCAACCTTCAATAGCCTGCAGCTCCACCCCTGTCAACCACCTCCACCAAGTCTGGCCTCCTTAATGAGAGCATTCAGCACACACACACCCAACTTGGTTGCTTCACTACATCGGCTATTGCTGCAAGTAATGACAGTGCAGCCTTCAATAGCCTGCAGCTCCACCCCTGTCAACCACCTCCACCAAGTCTGGCCTCCTTCATGAGAGCATTCAACACACACACACCCAACTTGGTTGCTTCACTACATTGCTGAAGCAAAGAGCACAGCAGGGGGCAGAGCAACCTTCAATAGCCTGCAGCTCCACCCCTGTCAACCACCTCCACCAAGTCTGGCCTCCTTAATGAGAGCATTCAACACACACACACACACCCAACTTGGTTGCTTCACTGCATCGGCTATTGCTGCAAGTAACGACAGTGTGAATAAATTGTCAATATTTGCTTGAGATAGTGCTTGCAGTTCTGGAGGGACTCTTAATTTTTTGCATCTCATAGACTTAGCATGGGGATTTGGTTAACCAGTTAAAATTCATGAGTAAACCAGGTTTTTTTAAAAAATCTGAAACATTTCGGGGGGGGGTTGAACCCCTAAAACCACCCCCTTGCTACAGGCCTGCCTGAAGGAATAGAGAGTGGGCTTCTAGAGAGACAGATACCTTCTTCTTGTAAGTGACCTGGTACTTCCAGACATGGCTCCGTTGCCGGGGAGGGACAGTCCACGACAAGGTCAGGCTGGTGGACGTGCGGCCGTCCATAGTCACAGAGGTCACTCGTGGAGGTTCTGGACATCAGGGAAGAGAAAGAGTGAGGTCAACATGCAACAGCACCTCATTCAAAGCCATACTCAAAAGCTTGGTCGTACACCCTATATTATCTACTAGGCATGGGCGATCCAGTTCATTAATTTCGTTATTCGTTATTGATTCGTATTTAAATTAGCTTACGATCCAGTATCGAGCCATGCAGGAATAGTGTGAGGAGTAATTAAGAATCGAAACATTTTTTTCAATTTTCGTAATTATTTCGTAATTATTTTCGTATGTCTGGTGCATTGTATTGTATATTATATTATAATATAATATATATAATATAATATATAATAATATAATATACAATAATATAATATAATAATATTATAATAATATAATATATAATATAATATAATAAATTATTATATTATATATATTGTTATTATAATAATATATAATATTATAATATAATATACAACAATATAATATAATATTATAATATAATAATAATATAATATAATATAATATAATATAATATAATATAATATAATATAATATAATATAATATAGTTGTTGTTTGTTTTATCACACCAACAGTCAACAACAGAGGGAGAGGGAAGCTTCAGAAGTTCCCCCTGTCCCATATTGTGCAATCGCGTCCACCATTAACGAATCGATTTGTAATTTACAAAATTTTGGAAATTTCGAAATTTCGAAATCTCAAATTTCGGAAGTCCTCAGAATTTCGAAACGCTAGCGCACCCTAGAAACGAAAAGAGTTTAGAACCAATTTTTTTCTTGATCTCCCAAGCCTATTATCTACACAAAAAAACTATTTCCAACCCTATCTGTAACTGGACTGATATGCCAAGTACCTCTACACTGGGTACATGAAGTTTATGAGTAAACCAACTATGTTATTTTGACAAAAACTACATTATTATTTGTATCTTGAGAGTTGTTTTAAGGGAGATTAGATATGTTTTTTGGGCAACTGAAAGAACACTTCTGAAACTATATATATTCTATACTAGCCGTCCCCTGCCAGGCGTTGCTGTGGCCCAATCTGCTGATCTCAGGGGCGGCTCGTCCATTACGCGAAGTAAGCGGTCGCAGAACACTTTTTTTTGCCAGGGGCGCAGAGGCGCCTCTGTAAATGCCCCTCGACCGCCACTTGAGGAGCGCCCCCTCAGCTCACAACAGCCCTAGCAGTCCGGGGGGAGCCTCGGCTTTCTTGCCTCGCTGCCGGGCGATCCTCTTCCCAAAAGGGTCGGGTCCTTGAGCCTCGCCTAGCCCCTCTCGTTCGTGCTCCACCCGGCCACCGGGTGCGCGAGCAGAGCCCGCGCTCAATCGTTTTCCGTGTTCGATCCCTTCTACATGACTGGCTCCCTTTCCTGATCCCCCGGTGCTCTCCTCTCCCCAGTCCGCGGGTGGGCTAAGGGGTGGAGCCGCCGTGCCTGGCCCGCTTCTGGTCCGGAGGCGTGTCTGAAGACCCCAGTGTGCGCACCAAAAGTCGGCTCTTCTCCTGACTTTCTCTTCAGCCATTGGGACCAAGAGAGAGAGAGAGAGAGAGAGAGCCCCTCCGGCTGGAGGTATCTCCCACCTCCGCTCCCTCCTTTGTTTTTGCGCCTACCTTCAGGAAAGGTGGGCATCTCCACCTCTCTCTCTCTCTCTCTCTCTCTTGGTCCCAATGGCTGAGGAGAAAGTCAGGAGAAGAGGTGACTTTTGGTGCACACGCCGGGTCTTCAGGCACGCCTCCAGACCCAAAGTGGGCCAGGCAAGGGAGCAAGTGCGGCAAGTGTAGTTACTGGGATGTATAGTTCACCTACAATCAAAGAGCATTCTGAACTCCACCAATGATGGAATTGAACCAAATATGGCACACAGAACTCCCACGACAAACAGAAAATATATATCAATGACTGGTTGGGGGGGGGGGCGCCAAAATACTGTTTGCTTACCATTGAAAATTACCTAGGGCCGCCTCTGGCTGATCTGGAAAATCCAGTAATGAGAAAGTCTTAGTTTCTAATAAATGTAATTTTCTTTATGCTTGTGGGTAAACAGTATTTCTTGTGTGGGAAGTTTGCCCCAATTCTGTTGGTAGTGGGATCCAGAATGCTCTTTGATTGTAGATGAACTATAAATCCCAGTTAACTACAACTCCCAAATGTCTTGGTCTATTTTCCCCAAACTCCATCTGTGTTCATATCTGGGCATATGGAATATTCGTGGCAAGTTTGGTCCAGATCCATCATTGTTTGAGTCCAAAGCACTCTCTGGATGTAGATGAACTACAACTCCCCAACTCAAGGTCAATGCCCACCAAACTCTTCCAGTATTTTCTGTTGGTCATGGGAGGCCTGTGTGCCACATTTGGTTCAATTCCATCATTGGTGGAGTTCAGAATGCTCTTTGATTGTAGGTTAACTATAAATCCCAGCAACTACAACTCCCAAATGAAATGATAGTCACTCCTTGGGTTAGTAGGTGTCTCGTGACCAAATTTGGAGGCAATTCATCCAGTGGTTTTTGAGTTATGTTAATCCCACAAACGAACATTACATTTTTATTTATATAGATATTTATATAGGAAAATGGAACGATGACAATGAGACCGGACAACGTTTTCAACAAGGTGACACTATTATTATTATTATTATTATTATTATTATTATTATTATTTACGGCATTTCTATGCCGCCCTTCTCACCACGAAGGGGACTCAGAGCAGCTTACAATATATATTTTCATACAATATATTATATTATTAGCATAGTACAATACCAGCATTATATATTACTATATTGAACGATACCATTATCTATATATATAAATTTGTTAGGGGCATCCAACGAGGAAACAAAACTCAAAAACCCCCCAACGAAACTTAACCAAAATTCCCATGCCCATAACACAACCCACAAGGTACAAACATATCTACTCAAAATGAAAAACAACACAACAACACACTCACAAAACGGCAAAAGAACAAAACTCAAAAATCCCCCAACGAAACTTAACCAAAATCCCCGTGCCCATAACACAACCCACAAGGTACAAACATATCTACTCAAAATGAAAAACAACACAACAACACACTCACAAAACGGCAAAACAACAAAACTCAAAAACCCCAACGAAACTTAACCAAAATTGCCATGCCCATAACACAACCCACAAGGTACAAACATATCTACTCAAAATGAAAAAAAACACAAACACACTCACAAAACGGCAAAACAACAAAACTCAAAAATCCCCCAACGAAACTTAACCAAAATCCCCGTGCCCATAACACAACCCACAAGGTACAAACATATCTACTCAAAATGAAAAACAACACAACACACTCACAAAACGGCAAAACAACTGAGCATGCGCATTGGCGCCCAGCCGCAAGTTCCATCGCGCGCACACATGGCCTTCCGGCCAACGTTCCCTCTGCGGAAACCATGCCCACTCCAAGCCCCGCCGCACCGCTTCCCGCACACACACACACCCTGCCGCACACACACACGCAACCCCACGCTCCATCACTCCCCCCGCTGCCGCACACACAACGCAACCCCACGCTCCATCACTCCCCCCGCCGCCGCACACACACACGCAACCCCACTCCCCCGCCGCCGCACACACACACGCAACCCCTCACTCCCCCCGCCGCCGCACACACACACGCAACCCCACGCTCCATCACTCCCCTGCCCCAATCTTACCTCCTTTTACTTCACGCCACCTCCAAACCCCACCCCGCCCCTTCCCGCCCTGTCAAAATCTAGGAAAGACAGGAAGGAAGGAAAGAAGGAAGAAAGAGAAAGGGAGGTAAAGAAAAAGGGGGAAGGAAGGAAAGTTAGAGGAAGAAGAAAAGGAAAGAAAAGGAAAGATGGAAGGAAAGAAAAGAGAGACAGCAGAAGAGAAAGAAAAAGGGGGAAGGAAGGAAAGAGATAGAGAAAGAAGAGGAGAAGGAAAGATGGGAGGGAGGGAGGGAGGGAGGGAGGGAGGGAGGGAGGGAGGGAAGGAAGAGGGAAGGAAGGAAGGAAGGAAGGAGGGAGGGAGGGAGGGAGGGAGGAGGGAGGGAGGGAGGGGGGGAAGGGAGGAGGAGGAGGGAAAGAAGGAGAGAAAGAGGGAGATTGGCCACAGCAACACGTGGCGGGTAAAGGTTGTTATTTCTATTATTATTATGCTATTGTTCCTCTGAGACCCTTTTAGGGGGAATGGGAGAGGTGTCAGGTCCCAGAGGCAATGCATTGCATTATTGTTATTGTTATGATGGTGGTGAAATAAAAGGAAATAAAAAGTGAAAGAAGGAAGCAAACAGGGAGGGAAGAAAGGCAAGGAAGAAAGGGGGAGGAAAGAGAGAAGGATGAAACCAAGTAGTGAAAGAAGGAAGGAAAGAAAGAGGTAGAGAAGGAAGAAAGGAGAGAAAGGGGGAGGAAAAGGGGGAAGGGATAGGTAGGTACCTCTCTTTCATAATAGTCCAGATATCTACCTCAACTTTGATAACTTTTACTATAGGCCACAGCAACGCGTGGCAGGGCACAGCTAGTATTGTGATATTATTAGTAATATTACATGTAATGTAAATATATAATTATAATATTGTATTATTACTAGTATTATATTATATTACATTATAATATTATAAATATTATATGTATATACAATAGACTATATTATATTATTAGTAAATATACATTAATAAATATTAAATAAATATATTAATAAATATTAATATAAATATATTAATAAATATTAGTAAATATTATTAGTAAATATTAGCAAATTACAATATACTATATTATATTATCAGTAAAGACAAGATGGAAATGTCATCTGCTTTCTATATTTTAAATTTATATTTTATTGATATGTTTAATTTTTATTATATATTATGTTTTTAATTGTATTTATGATATTGTAAGCATTGAATTTGACCCTGTTAACCGCCTTGAGTCGCCTGCGGGCGGAGAAAGGTGGTATACAAATACAGTAAATAAATAAATAGATGTATATGACATTGAATTATTGCCATTTATATGTTGTAAACAGCCTTGAGTTCCCCCTGTGAAGTGAGAAAGGCGGTATATAAATATAGTGTGTGTGTGTTTTGTGCAATGGCATATCTTCGTTCCTAACAGTTCAAAGAGATATCCAGGTATATCAGTCTAACAACTGAGAAACCTAATTGCCTTGCATGAATACTATTTACCACTAAGGAGAAGCGAGTTTGTAACTCTGCTCAGGAAGATCATACCTTACTAAAGGTTACGATCTCTAACACGGTCATACCTTTCCAAAACATAGGGCCTTATACGTCAAATCCCTGAACATTACCAAAATGGAATCGGTTACAACAGAAGTAGAGAGCGTTGCCCGTCGGTACCTGTCTGGTTGACGCTGATGCTGGCAGCGCCATAACTGCGCCGGGTGCTGAAGGAGGACACTCCGTTCTGGGCCTCCACCGTAAAGGTGTAGTTAACGTGGGGCTCCAAATCGCTGACGGTCAAGGAGGTGCCGGTGAAGCCGTGCGGGCGGTCCGAGAAGCGGAGGCCGGGGTCGCAAGGGCGGCACTCTCCAGACTCCGGCCAGCACTGCTCACAGGAGACACTGTAGGTGAGGTCCGAGCGCCCACCGGCGTCGAGAGGAGGGAGCCAACGGAGCTGTACCTTGGCTCCCAGGCCGACGGCCGTGACGCTACGTGGGGTGGACGGGGGGCCTGTGGAACAAACGAGCAAAGGAGTCCCATCAAAAAAGGAGGTCCTTGCTTCCACCGTTGGGTTCTCTTGTTGGTTATTGGAGGCATGGGCCAACTTTGGCACTCCCTCAATGCGTTTTGGACCCGGACTCCCATAACGTGGGTATGTAGATGATCCCTTCATTGACTTGAGTGTCCAGTTCCAAGGCTTGGGCCGACCTTGGCTTTTCCTCCAGATGTTTTGGACTTCAACTCCCACAGTTGAAGTCTGTGGGAGTTGGAAGTCCAAAACACTTTGGCACTCCCTCAACGTGTTTTGGACCCGGACTCCCATAATGTGGGTATGCAGATGATCCCTTCATTGACTTGAGTGTCCAGTTCCAAGACACAGGCCAACTTTGGCACTCCCTCAACATGTTTTGAACCTGGACTCCCATAACGTGGGTATGCAAATCCCTTCATTGACTTGTGTCCAGTTCCAAGACATGGGCCAACTTTGGCACTCCCTCAACATGTTTTGGACCCGGACTCCCATAATGTGGGTATGCAAATGATCCCATCATTGACTTGAGTGTCCAGTTCCAAGACATGGGCCGCCTTTGCTTTTCCTCCAGATGTTTTGGACTTCCACTCCCACAGTTGAAGTATGCGGGAGTTGGAAGTCCAAAACACTTTGGCACTCCCTCAACGTGTTTTGGACCCGGACTCCCATAACGTGGGTATGCAGATGATCCCTTCATTGACTTGAGTGTCCAGTTCCATGACATGGGCCAACTTTGGCACTCCCTCAACATGTTTTGGACCCGGACTCCCATAACGTGGGTATGCAGATGATCCCTTCATTGACTTGTGTCCAGTTCCAAGACATGGGCCGACTTTGGCTTTTCCTCCAGATGTTTTGGACTTCAACTCCCACAGTTGAAATCTGTGGGAGTTGGAAGTCCAAAACACTTTGGCATGGTTTTTAGAGGTCTCTTCCAACTCTATTGTTCCATGTTCCTCTATTGTTCCATCCAGACCAACCCCCTTCGGCCAGGCAGGGAGACACAGTCAAAGCCCCCCCAACAGATGGCCATCCAGTCTCCAAGGCAGAGAGCTCCCCTGTTGGACACTTAGAGGGTTCTCCTTCCGGTCCTTTGTCCCCACGGTTCTGCAGTAGGGCTACTCACGTGTGCATGGGGAGGAAAGGGGGTCACTCGCAGCCCGGAAGTAGCCCTCCTCGCAGGGGCAGGAGGTGGAGCCGGTGGCCGAGGGCAGCGTGTGCAAGGGGCAGTTAGAACAGGGGCTGTTGGAGACCTCCTCCTTGAAGAACCCAGGGGAGCAGGCTGCATAAAAGAGAGGGCGGCAAAGACCGGAGGTTAGTCTCCATCACGACAGTTCATATTATGGAAAGACGGTGCAGAGGAGCTGATGGAAGGCTGCAAATTATGCTTCAGCCAACCACAACAACAACAACAACAACAATGACTTATTTATATTCCGCCCTTCTCCCCAAGGGGACTCAGAGCTCTACAGCATATAAACAGACATAGGAAAACATTCAATGCTATTTTACAATGACATATTAGAGTAGCTCAGACCCAGTTCACCGCTCAATTGGATACTTTTCTACTGCAAGCTGTTTGAATCCGACTTCTGTTTCTTCCATCGGAGTATGTGCTGAGTGCTTTGAGATCTCTCTCTGTTTGTGTGTCAGGAGAAGCCTTAGAAGAGATGGGTGTTAGAGTAGCTCAGACCCAGTTCACCCCTCAATTGGATACTTTCCTACTGCAAGCATTTTGAATCTGACTTCCGTTTCTTCCATCAGAGTATGTTCTGACTGCTTTTGGATCTCTCTCTACTTGTGTGTCAGGAGAGATGTAGTGATTGAGTTTTTCCCTCTCTTGAAGCCTTAGAAGAGATGGGTGTTAGAGTAGCTCAGACCCAGTTCACCGCTCAATTGGATACTTTTCTACTGCAAGCTTTTTGAATCTGACTTCTGTTTCTTCCATCGGAGTATGTGCTGAGTGCTTTGAGATCTCTCTCTGCTTGTGCGTCAGGAGAGATGTAGTGATTGAGTTTTTCCCTCTCTTGAAGCCTTAGAAGAGATGGGTGTTAGAGTAGCTCAGACCCAGTTCACCCCTCAATTGGATACTTTCCTACTGCAAGCATTTTGAATCTGACTTCGGTTTCTTCCATCGGAGTATGTTCTGACTGCTTTTGGATCTCTCTCTACTTGTGTGTCAGGAGAGATGTAGTGATTGAGTTTTTCCCTCTCTTGAAGCCTTAGAAGAGATGGGTGTTAGAGTAGCTCAGATCTAGTTCACCGCTCAATTGGATACTTTTCTACTGCAAGCATTTTGAATCTGACTTCTGTTTCTTCCATCGGATTATGTGCTGAGTGCTTTGAGATCTCTCACTGTTTGTGTGTCAGGAGAAGCCTTAGAAGAGATGGGTGTTAGAGTAGCTCAGACCCAGTTCATCGCTCAATTGGATGCTTTCCTACTGCAACTTTTTGAATCTGACTTGTTTCTTCCATCGGAGTATGTGCTGAGTGCTTTGAGATCTCTCTCTGTTTGTGTGTCAGGGGAGATGTAGTGATTGAGTTTTTCCCTCTCTTGAAGCCTTAGAAGAGATGGGTGTTAGAGTAGCTCATACCCAATTCACCGCTCAATTGGATACTTTCCTACTGCAAGCTTTTTGAATCTGACTTCTGTTTCTTCCTTCGGAGTATGTGCTGAGTGCTTTGAGATCTCTCACTGTTTGTGTGTCAGGAGAAGCCTTAGAAGAGATGGGTGTTAGAGTAGCTCAGACCCAGTTCACCCCTCAATTGGATACTTTCCTACTGCAAGCATTTTGAATCTGACTTCTGTTTCTTCCATCGGAGTATGTGCTGAGTGCTTTGAGATCTCTCACTGTTTGTGTGTCAGGAGAAGCCTTAGAAGAGATGGGTGTTAGAGTAGCTCAGACCCAATTCACCGCTCAATTGGATGCTTTCCTACTGCAAGCTTTTTGAATCTGACTTGTTTTTTCCATCGAGTATGTGCTGAGTGCTTTGAGATCTCTCTCTGCTTGTGTGTCAGGAGAAAAGTAGTGAGTGAGCTTTTCCCTCCTTTGAAGCCTTAGAAGAGATAGGTGTTAGAGTAGCTCAGACTTAATTCACTGCTCAATTGGATACTTTTCTACTGCAAGCTTTTTTGAATCTGACTTCTGTTTCTTCCATTGGAGTATGTGCTGAGTGCTTTGAGATCTCTCTCTGCTTTTGTGTCAGGAGAGATGTGATTGAGTGTTTAGAAGAGATGGGTGTTAGAGTAGCTCAGACCAGTTGTTGATTATTCAGAAATACAGTTAGTTCTTTATGATTGTAAATAAAGCTCTTGTGATTTTTAATATTGAATTCTAATCTCTGAATTCTTTGCAGCCACATCACACGGCACTTCTTGCTCTGCTCGCTAATGAATAATCAACTTTAGTATCCTGTTTGTTTTTGGATGCTCTGCTATATATTGTGGATGCTCTGCTATATATGTTGGGGTTGTTTTGGATGCTCCGCTATATATTTTGGGGTAGTTTTCCCTAACCGTGGTCAGGTGGACTGTGCACATATTTCAGGTGGCTAGGTATTCTTTACTGACGTATGCGCTATTACTGAGAGGGAGCAAAAGAATGTCAAACAGGCTCACCCAGAGGGGAAATGAGCTTCAGCTCTGGATGTCCGCACATTAGAGCAAATATGCGTTGCGGGGGGAGCGGAAGACACCTTCCTGCCTGCCGTCGGCCAGCCATTCAGGCTCGTTTCCTGGATGAGTCTGTTCTTCCACAGGAACCGAACATTCCCCTGGACTGTATCACTTCCTTCCTTTCGGGGGATCCGCAACGGAGGGGCTCGGAGAACGCACCCCTCCCCGTCCTCCATACGGATTTGACTCTGTTTGAGAGAGTTCCCCTCCTGGCTTTCGTGCCGGCTGGCCACCGGCCAACGGCAATCTTTGGCCGCATTCCCGTACAGACCGGGATGGGACGGGATCGGAGGAATGCACCTTTGTGGGGACTCCGCTTGGGAGGAGAGGCGTGGGTTTCCATGGCACCTCTCTTGCCAAAAGCCAAAGCAGGCAGGAAAATGAACACAAAGCAGGGCTGGCTTCTGGCGAGCCGGCCAGGAAGCTCCGAATATCTGTGTTTATTCCTGGAGATAAACGGCCTTTGTTTCCTTCCCGCAGAGAGAGGCCAGCGGGATGGGAGGTCAGGGTATCTTTGCACAAAAGGGCACATTCCTTTTTCCTCCCCCAACCTCGGCCTAACTAAACTGACCAAAGAGCTGACTCGGGAGCCCAGTGCTAGGGGCCCAAAGCCTCTTTCAAAACCATCTTTTGGTTAGCAGAGGCGGTAGCCCGCTTGGCCACCATTGCAACCGCCACTTCCTCGTTCCTTGCGGCACTGGACAGTCTTTCCATCCTAGTGGCAGACCTAGATTTCCCTATCGCCCAAGGCTCAACCTCAGCAAGGACACAGGAAACGGCCTGTCTCAGGGGAGTGTGCTTGCCCCACCCATGTTTAACATTGACACAAATGATCGGCCACTGCCAGAAGGGACAGAGAGTTTCATCTACGCTGACGATAGTGCCATCATTGCCAAAGCAGGGCGCTTTGAGATGGTTGAACCAAAGCTCTCCGAAGCTTTAGGTGCTCTTACTGCCTATTACAGGGAAAACCAGTTTGCAACATCCATGTTTAACATTGACACAAATGATCAGCCACTGCCAGAAGGGATAGAGAGTTTCACCTACGCTGACGATCGTGCCATCACCGCCCAAGCAGGGCGCTTTGAGATGGTTAAACAGAAGCTCTCCTAAGCTTTAGGTGCTCTTACTGCCTATTACAGGGAAAACCAGCTTGCGCCATTAAAGTTTAACATTGACACAAATGATCAGCCACTGCCAGAAGGGACAGAGAGTTTCATCTACGCTGACGATAGTGCCATCACTGCCCAAGCAGGGCGCTCTGAGATGGTTGAACCAAAGCTCTCCGAAGCTTTAGGTGCTCTTACTGCCTATTACAGGGAAAACCAGTTTGCACCATTAAAGTTTAACATTTACACAAATGATCAGCCATTGCCAGAAGGGACAGAGGGTTTCACCTACGCTGATGATAGTGCCATCACTGCCCAAGCAGGGCCCTTTGAGATGGTTGAACAGAAGCTCCCCGAAGGCTTAGGTGCTCTTACATTTACACAAATTGGCAACCACTGCCAGAAGGGACAGAGAGTTTCTTCTATGCAGACGATCATGCCATCACCACTCAAGCTGGGAGCTTTGAGATGGTTGAACAGAAGCTCTCCAAAGCTTTAGGTGCTTTTACATTTACACAAATTGCCAACCACTTCCAGAAGGGACAGAGTTTTTCTTCTATGCAGATGATTGTGCCATCGCTGCTCAAGCTGGGAGTTTTGAAACAGTTGAAGAAAAGCTCTCCAAAGCTTTTGGGGCTCTTACTGCCTATTCCTAATCCATCTAAAATACATAAGTGTGCCTTTTCACCTTAACAACAGACAAGCATCTTGAGGTATGAGAATGACCTGGGAAGGAATCCCACTGGAGCATTGCAGTGCATCCAAATACCTGGGAGTTACCCTGACCAACAAGAAGCACTCCTGAGACAACCTGGTGGCCCCACATGGGGAGTTGGAGCTGACAGAGGGAGCTCAATCCACTTTCCACAAATTCGAACCGCTGACAGGTCATCAGTCCTGCCGGCACTGAAATAGAGGGGAGCTCCGTAGGTCTGTGTTTGCTCGGCAGCCTTGAAGGGCGCTTATCTCCCTCTGCAAAGCCAGGCACATTCCTGCACAAAGCCCCTCTCCTATCTCTCCTCTCGGGGTCCGCACCTGTCTGGAGCCTTGCCTCTCCCACGCCAGGAAACATCCTGGGGCCAAGGGACTGTGGGATCCATGCATCCTCATGCACGGGTGCTCGGGGATCCAGCAAAAGCATCCAGAAGGAAACGAAAGGTCAAGCTAAGAGCAGCTTAGGAATCACTCCCTTTGCTCTTCTTGGAAATCACTTCCTTCTTCACTTATGAGCTGCTGGACCAATCAGAAATGCTATTCCGTGGCGCAATGGGTTAAACCCTAGTGCTGCTGAACTGCTGACCTGAAGGTCAGCAGTTCGAAACCATGAGACCTCGTCCCCGCCAAACATGCCTGAGTTGCAGGCGGGATCAAGAGCAGAAGATCTTAAAGTCCTAGTGGGTTCATAGGCGGAGATGCGTTCGGATAGGTAACTTGGGCCAGAACCGTTTAGGGCTTTATAGGCCAATGCCAGCATTTTGAATTGTGCCCGGTAGCAAATTGGCAGCCAGTGGAGCTGGCGCAACAGAGGAGTTGTATGCTCCCTGAGTGCCGCTCCCGTTAGCATCCTGGCTGCCAAGCGTTGGACTAGTTGAAGCTTCCGAGCAGTCTTCAAAGGCAACCCCACGTAGAGAGCGTTGCGGTAGTCTAAGCGGGATGTAACCAGAGCGTGGACTACCGTGGCCAAGTCAGACTTCCCAAGGTACGGGCGCAGCTGGCGCACAAGCTTATACGCCAGAATATACGGTACATAAAATGGAACTGTAGAGGACAGTCTACTGAGCAAGCCAGTACCTGCCACATACCAGTACTGCCATCTGTTGAGGAGTTATGAAGGTGGAGGCATTACTTTTCATTCAACCCTCGTATTATTGTAAACAAATCTTTTGTGATTTTTGAAGATTGGACTCTTTGCCTGCCAAGAGCAGCTTCGCTACCTGTGAGCTGTGGCTCAATTGTCAGTGTCCGGTTTGATTTTTTTGTTTTGTACGCTCTGCTACTCAGATACTAGAGACAAAGTTGAAGTACTTTGGCCACATCATGAGGAGACAGGAAAGCCTAGAGAAGACAATTATGCTGGGGAACGTGGAAGGCAAAAGGAAGAGGGGCCGACCAAGGGCAAGATGGATGGATGGCATCCTTGAAGTGACTGGACTGACCTTGAGGGAGCTGGGGGTGGTAACGGCCGACAGGGAGCTCTGGCGTGGGCTGGTCCATGAGGTCACGAAGAGTCGGAGACGACTGAACGAATGAACAACAACAACACGCTCTGCTATATTTTCGGGTAGTTTTCCCTAACAGTATCACCTCCAGATCACAAACAGGATCTCCCAGTCTGCTTTTCCCTCCGCACCATTCCAGGCCAATTTAGGAGGAAAGCAGCCACAGCTCCACCCAGGAGAAAGAAGTGAGAGGAAAGCGTTTCTGGGAGGAATGGAGGAGCGGAGGAGCGTGAATCCCAGGTTGTCACCCATTTCCTGCTCCCGTCCTGCGTGTTCTTACCCGGGCTTTGAGGCATGCATCAGAAGAGACTCTCATATTCTAAGACTATTCTAAGTACAGTTGCACCACATGTATCATCAGCACAAAAGGGAAATAAGGCTGCTTACCTCTGCAGTTGTCGCCGTTCTTCTCGAAGCCCTCCCGGCAGAGGCACTCGCCGATCGGCACCAGCCACTCCCCATCGGAGTTGCAGTGCAGGAGTGGCTGCCCGGCGGACACCGCATCCGGCACGCAAGCCCCGGCCACCTCGGCCAAAGACTGCGAGTCGGCCCCGGCAATGGTCTCGGGAAAGGCGGCCATGTTGTGGACGGTCGCGGGACACTTCTTGTAGTAGATGCGGACGGAGAGAAGGGCCACACAAGCCCCGATGTCCTGGAAAGCCAGGTAGAAGCCCTTGCGGGTGAGGGGCCCCACCGAGCGCCGCTCCACGTTGATCTTGACGTTGCGGGTGTCGAAGTCCTCTCGGACCGTGATCTCGTCCGGGGCAATGGTGGCGATCTTGCGGAACTGCCGCTTCTGGAAGTTGATGCCGTAGTCCACGTCCGACTCGGCGTAGAAGAGGTTGAAGGTCTCCTTGCAGGTGCCCGTCCCGCCGGGGAAGCTGTTGCAGTCCCTCACGGTGAACTGGAGCTCGATGAAGATGCGCTGGGCCTCGCTGCGGTAGATCCAGTTGGTCCGCAGCCAGTTGTCCTGGTCGCCCTCCATGACGTTGCAGACCGAGTAGATGTAGATGAGGGACTCGTTCATGACGTTCTGGAGGAGGTCCCACTGGCGGAGGAGGGACACAGCATCATCACCACCGGCACTAGCATCAGCATCACCACAACCACCACCAACTCTCCATGCAACGACATGAATTAACTGCTTTTTAGCCCAAGCTCTTTGCAAATACTTCAATAGCTGGACTTACCCCTTTCCCAAAAGGATGGTTGAGCCAGCCGAGGTCCCCCTGCGCCTTGGCAAAGTCCAGCAGGACAACTAGGAGGAAAGGCACGGAAAAAGGAGGCATTAGTGTTGCACAGCAAGGTCTCAATCCCATCTAGGAAACTCTCACTACGGAAAAGACTCAAGGGAAAGTCACTTTCCCGAGACCTGAAGCGGAGGGACCTGGCTCTTACGCAAGTCTGGGCCAACTTCAGCCCTCCCTCCAGGTGTTTTGGACTCGGACTCCCATAACGTGGGTATGCTGATAATCCCTTGATTGACTTTATGGGAGTCCAAGTCCAAGTCCAAAACACCTGGAGGGAGGATCGAAGTCAACTCATGCCTTTGTCCTCTTGGGACTGGATTCTTGAGTTGACTTCGGCCCTCCCTCCAGGTCTTTTGGACTTGGACTCCCACAACGTGGGTATGTTGATGATCCCTTGGTTGACTTAAGTATCTAGTCTGAAGAGGACAAAGGCATGGGCCAACTCCGGCCCTCCCTCCAGGTGTTTTGGACTCGGACTCCCACAACATGTGTATGCAGATGATCCCTTGATTGACTTAAGTATCTAGTCCCAAGAGGACAAAGGCATGGGACAACTTTGGCCCTTCCTCCAGGTGTTTTGGACTCGGATGCCCACAACATGAATATGCTGATGATCCCTTGATTGACTTAAGTACCCAGTTCCACAAGGACAAAGGCATGGGCCAACTTTGGCCCTTCCTCCAGGTGTTTTGGACTCAGACTCCCACAACGTGGGTATGCAGATGACCCCTTGATTGACTTAAATATCCAGTTCCAAGAAGACAAAGGCATGGGCCGACTTTGGCCCTCCCAGGTGTTTTGGATTCAGACTTCCACAACATGGGTATGCTGATGATCCCTTGATTGACTTAAGTATCCAGTCCCAAGAGGACAAAGGCATGGGCCAACTTTGACCCTTCCTCCAGGTGTTTTGGACTCGGATGCCCACAACGTGGGTATGCAGACGATCCCTTGATTGACTTAAGTATCCAGTTCCAAGAGGACAAAGGCATGAGCCAGCTTTGGTCCTCCCTCCAGGTGTTTTGGACTCGGACTCCCATAACGTTGTTGTGTTGTATTTTCGGGCTTGGCCTCATGTTAGCCTCCCCAAGTCCCCTTTGGGGAAGTGGTGGTGGGGGTATAAATAAAGATATTATTATTATTATTATTATTATTATTATTATTATTATTATTATTATTTGGGTATGCAGATGATCCCTTGGTTGACAAGCATCCAGTTCCAAGAGGACAAAGGTATGAGCCAGCTTTGGCCCTCCCTCCAGGTGTTTTGGACTCGGACTCCCATAACGTGGGTATGCAGATGATCCCTTGGTTGACTTAAGCATCCAGTTCCAAGAAGACAAAGGCATGGGCCAACTTTGGCTCTCCCTCCAGGTTTTTTGGACTCCAACTTCCACAATTCCTAACAGCCTACTAGCTGTTAGGAATTGTGGGAGTTGGAGTCCAAAACACCTGAAGGGAGGACCGAAGTCGGCCCAGGCCTGCTCTTAAGCCATAAAGCGCTTGAGCCCCTACTATATCTTCCCTCCCTTGCGCAACAACATCCATCATGTCTGCACTCCCTTAAGTCAACAGCAGCTGGCTTTAGGTTTTTGGACACAGAAAGATAAGTGGCTCCTTCATATATCTCCTTCTGTAGCCGCTTGCATTGGGGTAAATGCCCGGAAGATAACATCTGATCCCGTCTGAAAAGCTAAGCAGTGCCAACCTCGGTAAGTATTGGGAGACGAGGCTGTAGGACGGAACTGGCCAACCTGCCCCTGAGTCTTCCTTGCCTATGAAACTCATGGGTTTGTCATAAGTCAACAGGGGACTGATGTGTTTTGTCAGCAAACAGAAGGGCAAGGTCGGAAGTCCCCTTATCGGGTTCTTATCTGCGAGACAAGTTTGTTCTTTGGTTTCCTGTGCAGTGTTTTTCCTGTTGGGAAGGAGTAGTCGCTGAGCAACCGGCCAAGGCCGTAAAGCTATTTGGGAACAGGGAGGGAATCGAAATGGGAGGAAGGAAGGAAGGAAGGAAGGAAGGAAGGAAGGAAGGAAGGAAGGAAGGAAGGAAGGAAGGAAGGAAGGAAGGGCGGGCAACGAAGCAGACAAGGAAGTCACCAAGCCAGGAATGCTGTTGCTACCAAATTTGAGCCTCTCTTGCACTTTAGCCCGGGAACACTTTTACACCCAGCACCACACAAGAGTACAGTAGTAGCTAATTACAGCAGTTTGTTTACAAAAGGTAAAAAAAGGGCATTTCCCAAAAAGCAGTAGAAAAGGTGCCATAAAATTGCAGTAGTCCATATATACAAAGATCAATAGCCCAAGATAGCAAGGTACATGAAATCCATGAAGTCAGGAACATAGGCATAAATCCCATTAATGTGAAACGGGAACTTTTCCAAGGCAAAACTCTTTCAGGAAGACAGGCAAACTTGAGAGCAGAACATGAACTTGATTTTAAGGCAACGTTGTCTGCTCTGAAAGAACCAGAAAAACATCCCTTAATTTAAGCTCAAACCTGGATGAGAAGCCATAAGGTCATCCCTTTGACACCTGGGTTTTAAGGACTGCTTCTTACAGAGTCTTTCTGACCTTCTAATTAACCTTTCATTTGCTCTCTATGTGCAGAGGCCTAATCTCATATCACGGGAAAACTCCCCAGCTTCGGTCTTCTTGGCCTTCAGAAGATGGGGAGTTTTTCCGTGATACGAGATTAGGACTCTGCACGGAGAGAGCTTGGTGATTCCTGGGTCTGGCCTTAGCCGCTTCCCAAGAAAAATGGAATCCCAGACATCCTCTCTCTCTTTGGCAGCTGCCGGCCCTTCTCTATGATCTATGGTCTGCATTCCTGTCCGTGTTTCAGTGTGATCACACACAGACTCAGTGAAAAATCCATCATTCCCCTCATCCTCCGAGGCAGACTCCCCGGCATCAGGCAAACTTGAGAGCTGAACATGAACTTGATTTTAAGGCAACGTTGTCTGCTCTGAAGGAACCAGAAAAACATCCCTTAATTTAAGCTCAAACCTGGATAAGAAGCCATGAGGTCATCCCTTTGACACCTGGGTTTCAAGGACTGTTTCTTACAGAGTCTTTCTGACCTTCTAATTAACCTTTCATTTGCTCTCTCTGTGCAGAGGCCTAATCTCATATTACGGGAAAACTCCCCAGCTTCGGCCTTCAGAAGATGGGGTGCTTTCCCGTGATATGAGATTGGGCCTCTGCACAGAGAGAGCTTGGTGATTCCTGGACCTGGCCTTAACCGCTTCCCAACAAAAATTGAATCCCAGACATCCTCTCTCTCTTTGGCAGCTGCTGGCCCTTCTCTCTGATCTACAGTCTGCATTTCTGTCCGTGTTTCAGTCTGATCACACACGGATTCAGTGAAAAATCCATCATTCCCCTCATCATCCGAGGCAGACTCCCCAGCATCACGCAAACTTGAGAGCTGAACATGAACTCGATTTTAAGGCAACGTTGTCTGCTCTGAAGGAACCAGAAAAACATCCCTTAATTTAAGCTCAAACCTGGATAAGAAGCCATGAGGTCATCCCTTTGACACCTGGGTTTCAAGGACTGTTTCTTACAGAGTCTTTCTGACCTTCTAATTAACCTTTCATTTGCTCTCTATGTGCAGAGGCCTAATCTCATATCACGGGAAAACTCCCCAGCTTCGGTCTTCTTGGCCTTCAGAAGATGGGGAGTTTTTCCGTGATATGAGATTAGGACTCTGCATGGAGAGAGCTTGGTGATTCCTCCTGCCTCGGAGGATGAGGGGAATGATGGATTTTTCACTGAGTATCTGTGTGATCTTCAGCCTTCAGAAAATGAGGAGTTTTCCCCTGATATGAGATTAGGCCTCTGCACAGAGAGAGCTTGGTGATTCCTCCTGCCTTGGAGGATGAGGGGAAATGATGGATTTTTCACTGAGTCTGTGTGTGATCTTCAGCCTGCAGAAGATGAGGAGTTTTCCCATGACATGAGATTAGACCTCTGCACGGAGAGAGCTTGGTGATTCCTCCTGCCTCGGAGGATGAGGGGAATGATGGATTTTTCACTGAGTCTGGATGTTATCTTCGGCCTTCAGAAGATGAGGAGTTTTCCCATGATATAAGATTAGACCTCTGCATGGAGAGAGCTTGGTGATTCCTGGGCCTGGCCTTGACCGCTTCCCAAGAGAAATGGAATCCCAAATATCCTCTCTCTCTTCGGCAGCTGCCGGCCCTTCTCTCTGATCTACGGCGTGCATTTCTGTCCGTGTTTCAGTCTGATCGCACCCATTATTCCCCTCATCCTCTGCGGTAGACTCCCCAGCATTCCCAACATCCTGAAGGAGCTCCAACAAGCTCCTTCAAGGACCACCGCTCTCCACCAAACTTGGCACATAGAACCCCCATGACCAACTCAACCAAGTGAATCCCAGAGCCTACTCTTGGGCAAGTCACACTCTCTCAGCCTCAAAGGATGGCAGCCACAACTCCCTTTGGGAGGAAATTCTGCTCGGAGGAGCCAGAGGAGCCGAAGACCCAAAGGTAGCGAAGGCATGCCGTATCTATAGCAACGCCCTTCCGGACGTGCCATAAAACCCCCCTTCCCATTGTGAGGCTTCTGTCTGGCTTGCCTCAGCCTTATCTCCACGCCTGTCGTTTGCAAACCCTTTGCCTCCCGCCCGAAGGAATGTGAGCGGTTTGGAAAGAGGGAGGCGAATCTATGCAGTCAGGAGGAGGGAGAGACCCAAAGGAGAGGCGCATCCATTCACCTTTCCCAAAGCCAAACCCAACCTGGGCATTTGATTGTGTGGCAGTGGGTTATGGGCCCGGTCCGGCCGTCGTTGGGGGCTATTTTTACGTGATGCTTCATGCTGAAATCCCCAGCAGCTGCCTGTCCTCCGAGGCTGCCTCCGCTCCAGACATTTGCAAGGAGCATCTGGAAGAAGTTTCCTTTCCCACCGGCTAATTTTAAACCCTTCGCAGCGTGCGATTTTGGTGACGGTTGGGAAGCACGAACGCTTGGGAGGAGAGGA